GAAATGAATGTAGGATTTCAACACAGGTAGGCGCTCCTGTGCCAGTTTTAGTCTGTGGGTAAGAATAGCAGTGAGGAGGTGGCAGGAGGGGTGTGCATACAGGCTAACAATGAGAGTACAAGTCCTTAGGGATACTGCGTTACGTGAATTATGCCTACGCATGTTAGATTTATGCCATAACTGCTGTGCAAACGTCAGCTTCTTAAAAAAAAAAACCTCAAACAAACAAACAAAAAAAAACCAAACAAAGAGTCACCTGAGAAAGCAGCAGCAACAAAATCAGGATGGGAAGAAAAAAATAAAAAACCCCAAACCCACAAAAAAGCACCCAAGCATATGAAGACTAGAACTGCAGGAGAAAGAATAGGAGGCCATGTGGGGACAGTGTCACTGAGAAAGCTGAGCAACTGTATGGGACATTACTAACTTCATAAAGCTTCTTCCCTCTAAGTTGTGGGCTCCAGAAGATAACAGACTCCAGCATTAGGAGAAAAACTAAGTAATGTGTGCTGCTTTTAAGAAATATAAATCAGTCAGTGTCACAGACTGCTGACCGTAAGGACAAAACTGGGGCACAGAAACAGTTGACACTGGTGGAAAAGATGCAGCAAAACCAAGGTGAACGAAGGAAGCTGTACTGTTGTCAGCTTTTTGGGGATGAGACTGCTGATAAAATGACTGAGTTGACTGAGACCACAAGAAGAATAGTGCCAAAGCAAGGATGTGAAAGTTACTGCAATAATTAGGAGGGTTTACAGACATTTCAGCAAAAGGTCAAGTCTTGTGTTACAGCATTTTAACCAGAACAAAGGGAGTGTAGAGTCCAGGCTAAGGATATACAAACTGAATTTTGACCCATGAAATCAGTGTTGACCAGATTTTTGCTGCAAAGATAGTTGCTGAAGAGAGCATTGAATGAAGTAAGATGCTCATCATTAAACTGAAGTTGTAAGAAAGGTTTCTCTGTCTCCTAATTCACTTTGGAGCTTCTTGATGAATATCATTGGAGCAGAAGGCATAGCTATGGCGAATGTAAACTTAAGCAGCTGGTGTCATGCAGATCCCAGGGTTATATGTAAGACTGCACGTTCTCTTTCCCCTTGCTGTTTTGCTGTTAGCTTCATTATGTGAAAAAGCATAGCTGATACAATGCAGGAATTGTGTGGTTCAGCTGTAGGACATCAGAAAACTAGGTTTTGCTGGAGACATGGCATTTCCAAGCTCATGTAAGGAAACTGAAAGACTGCCTGGCATTGAGGAAAAAAGGCTGTGTTATTAATCACTTCTGAAAAGAAAAAAAAAATCTAATAAGAATCCCAGCTAAAACACTGTGTTAGAAAGTGAAGGAATACAGAGATGAATTGGTTCATGTGCCTTAGAAATGACAAACACTGCAAGGGAGTATCTAGAAAGGAATTAGGAATTGGCAAGGCACCAGCCGTATTCACCCCATCCAGCAAGATGAGGTATTGAAAAACTGGAATTTAAAGGTTAAACTCATATCTTGAACTTCAAAGTTATTTCTGCCCTACCAGGTGAATGTGGTAGAAATATGCTGGAGCTATAGGTAGGCATGTCCCTGTCTGCCAGGGTAACGGCCTCAGGAAGAAGACTGAAGTATTAAATGGAATTCTATGCCCTGGGATTTTTTACATGATCAAAGTACAACTTCTTAACTCTAGGACTAACCAGAAAAAAAAAAATGAAAGTATCTGGGTCTTGGGATGAAAAGAACGCTTGCTTACATGAGGAAGAGGTGTGAAATAAGAGAGTCCCTCTAATCATCAGGGAGTGACAGTGCCTGGAGCTGAGGGCCATCAAGAACTGGGCAGAATGATCTGTTACTGCACCCCTGCTCTGCAGAGAGGGATGACATCTCTCTTTGTTCCTTTCTTATTTCCATGGTTGTAGCCCTGCTGGGAATGGTGTTACATTCCTCTTCAAGGACTTGTCTCCTGGCAGTTCTCAATGTGCTTCTGAGCTTCTTGACCCCCAAGCAAGATCTTGTTTGTAGGATTCACTTTTTCCCCTTTCCACCTAGTTCTCAGCTCATCTTAGTGGTGAGTATATGTTCTTCCAGGTGACTTCTGGCACTTTTCTTTGATCAGCTTTAGATTCAAGTTACACTGATGCAGGTGCGATGTGGGCTTTAGCAGTGCAGTCCCTGGATCCAGGATACATTTTTAGAGCATACTGGATACCGGGCCAGCTCCTTCACTCTGACCTGTGCCATATGTTACACTGGTACAGAGGCTATTTCAAGGCATATTAAGCTACCAGATCAAAGACATAGAAGGAAAAGATGTGCCAGAGAAAACTGTTTCCTCAAATAGCGAGTTGTCCCCAGGGAGCTGCCTCAGGCTCAGGAGCGCAGGGGAGAGGATACTCAGTGGACAGGTTGTGCCACAGTCTGGAAAACAGATTTCTCCTTGCTCTTTATTTCGTAAATTGCAGTGACTCTGCATTCAGTCTGGCTGAGGACCTGGACTGTCCAGCCTGGGTGCTGTCAGCTGCGTGTTGTGATGACAGTTAAGCACAGCATTGCCAGCCCGTCAAAGGAGGTGATTGTCTTGCTCTGCTCTGCACTGGTGCAGCCTCATGGTGAATCCTGTGTGCAGTTTTGAGCACCACAACATAAAAAAAAGACATTAAGCTATTAGAGAGCATCCAAAGGAGGGCCAAAAGGATGGTAAAGGGCCTTGAGGGGAAGTCTTACGAGGAGCAGCTGAGGTCAATTGGTTTGTTCAGCCTGGAGAAGAAGAGACGGGAGATCCCCTCGCAGTCTACAACTTCCTCACAAGGGGAAGCAGAGGGGTAGACACTGATCTCTTTACTCTTGTGACCAGTGATAGGACTCTAGGAAATGGCATGAAGCTGAGGTTTAAGTTAGGAAAAGATTCCTGCACTCAGAGGGTGGTTTGGTACTGGAATGGGCTTCCCAGGAAAGTGGTCACAGCACCGAGCTTGCCAGAGTTCAAGAAGTGTTTGGACAATGCTCTTGGGCACGTGGTGTGACCCTTGGATTGTCCTATGCAGGGCCAGGAGTTGGACTCTATGATCCTGGTGGGTACCTTCCAACTCAGCATATTCTGTGAATAAATTAAAACTAGATCCCCCAAGTCCAGAATGGATTTCATTATCCAGTGCTGGGCTCAAGTCAATTCGCAGCCTGAAGCCTTTCAAAGGGTGGGTCAAGGCCCCAGATCAGTCTGTGCCATGGCAGCTCTCGTGGTATTTGCAGGATAAAGACTTCAAATGATTCTTTTCAGTTTAATTTTATTTTTTAAATTTTTAATTGAACTCAAGCTGTTCAGACTGGGTCTGGACATCTATGGGATTGCTGGTGAGGGGTGTGCAGCAGCTGGCCCAAGGTGTGTTGCTATTGGCAGGTGTCTTCCTCAGTGCCACAGCACGTCGCCTTGATGGCAGCATCTGGGAAATGGCTAGCTCTGCAGTGTGTGCAGCTATCCCAAAATGGTAGACTGGATTTAATGCCACAACAGCTGTGTCCTGTGGTGTCCTGGGAAGAGCCTCTGGGGTCGCTTCTCCTTTGCCATGCCACCTCACTGACCTGGTGCTTTCCTGCTGGAGAGAGGCAGTCTCTGAGGAGCATGGTAGGGATTGAGGCACAGTTCCCAAATAACTTGCATTTTGCTGTCTGGAGGGCAGCCTAAGGGTATGATGGTGCTGGTTTCTGGACAGGTGAAGCATCTTAGTCATGTGTAGGCCTGAAGGGAAGGGAGAGAGAGGTAGTGTGCAGCTTCAGAGCCCTGCTGCATTGGGCATCTCCAGACAGTGTACAAGGCAACCACTGCTGATGTGGAATTACAGCTGTCTGGTTTAGATATCACTGTGGAAGAATGAACACTTTGGATCAGTTTGTGTCCTTGCAGTCTCAAGGAGTTGACCTATAGTCTTTTCTGAGGTCAAGTATCATTACCAAGTATTTTCTCTTTCTTTTCTGTCACCAAATGGGCAGGAGTCCACTTCATCAAGTAGTATCATTTCACTTCAGAAGTTACTTGTCTCTCTTTCTTTTCTTCTCCTTTTCATACTTTAATGACCTTATGCAGATCACAGTCCCTGGGCCCAGCTTCCTGGCTTGCTCTCCCCTTTCTGATCTCCTAAAGGGTGACTGGATTCCTGCTTGACACTTTATGATCTCTATCTTGCTGCATTTGCCTTTCCATGCTCTTTCTCAAGTCCCATCCATCACAGCTGAGCCAGTTCTGCCAGGGGACATCTCATGCTGACACCTGAACCTCTTTGGTGGCAGCTTAGACTGTATGACAGCTCACAGCTCACTGCACCTTGTTGGCACTCTGCTGCAAATCCTCCTGTCTATAAAGGACATGCTAGAAACTGTGGAGCTTCCTTTAGCCTCTGTGCCCTTGACTAACATGTATGCTTGTCTTCCCTTCTGCTGCTTATCTCCTGTTCCTTCACACTAACAAACATGTTATACAATCTCCTGGGTAAAGAGATGTGCCAGTGCCAAGAAATCCTTAACTTCTCTGTTTGTCGTGATTAACCCTGTTCAGCCTGCCCCCACTGACCCCACTTGCACAGGGGGTCTGGACCAGGTGATCTCCAGAAGTTACTCCCAACCTCAACTGTTCTGACTCTGTGACCCAGCAGTCCTATCTCACATGCAGCTTCATTCAAGTTTTCAGTCTGGTACTCACATAGATTTGTCACTCCAGGATGGCAAGTGCTGAGCAACTGTGACTGCTGGCTTGGCAGTGTGTGTGTGTGTGTGTGTCTGCTTAGCACAACTATACTGCCTGGACCAAAAGTCTACATTACCTGTAACTTGGCCTCTCAGCAGCTGAGAGTGGATGCTTTGGAAAGAGGAGGGCAAGTGAATGTTATCCTTCCATTTAATGCACCTTCTCATTCTGGCAGTTAGTGCTATGAGAGCTTCCATGAGTTTCCCCAACTGTTCCTTAAATCCTGCCTTGTGACTAGCTCTTGTGATTTCAGGAAGCTGCACAGTGGTTGGGTTTGCTCCTTTAGCCTGTTTATCTCTCCTGACATTGCTAGTCCTCATCCCTGCTGTGTCAGTGCCTCCTGCACTGGGGCAGGGATGGCGTGGATGTCTCTGTGCTGGGACTGATCTGACTGGGCGGAGCAAGGAGAGCAGTGCACACACACTGGGAGATATGGTTGAGCTGAGGAAGGGTGGGAAATGGGTGCTGTGCAGACAGAAGTTGATTCCGCATGTTATAAATAGGTGAGTTGTAAGTGTCCCAGGCCAGTTACACAGCAGGGATGTACTTGTGCTGCAGCCAATAACCATCTGCTCCCATTGCTTTTGGACTGATGTAACAGCTCCAGCTCTGTGAGCTTCCCATTTTAGGTGTAGTTTTATTTCTTTATTTCTTTGCTGCTTGTTCTTCATATTTCTTGATAACTCCCTTTTTTCTGCCCATAAGTGACATGCCAAAGTTTGTTCTGGTCCTATTCTCACTTACACTGCAACTTTTTGTTTTTCTTTTGTGACAGGAGAAGTCTTTTCACCTTGCTCCCTTTCCCCTCCAGCCTTTGCTTCCTCATGTCTGTGCTGGGAGATGTTTGTACAGTGGCAGATTTTTCTCTTGCATTTTTATCTGTGGTCTTTGTGTGCTGTGTCAGCCCTGACCAGATGTGCCAAAACCAGTAGACTGTGGGATCATCACTGTCACTGCAGCCAGCTCCTGTTCTTCTGGTGCTTTGTCTCTTAGGTCTCTTCCCTTCCTGATCTATATCCTAGTAGCCTATTCTTCCTAGCAGGATTAATATATTTAAGTTTCTGTCATGCAGATTTTGCTTAGTCTCTGCCTTTGCCATCCCTGGGGAAGGACGTCTACTTTCCTTGGTTCTCACTCCCTTAGGTGATGGGACTATAGAATGAATTTGTCTTGTGCTGTGTCATGAGGCTGGGTTGTAATGGGATGTCTCACTCTGCCTCCAGCCTACGAAGCTGCTTCCCCTGCTATGATGCCAGGGCAGATTCCCGACCCGTCCCTGACGGCTGGCGCACTGCCTGGGCTCGGCCCCTTGACAGGACTGCCTGGCACAGCCCTGACTGCTGAGGAGCTGAAGTGCGCCGATATCCGCAACATCGGGGCCATGATCTCACCGCTCCACTTCCTGGAGGTGAAGCTTGGGAAGAGACCCCAGCCCGTGAAAAGTGAGGTGAGTCTTGTGGGGACTGCTGCTGCAGGTGACCTTGCAGGGTTGTTGTCTGCAGTTGATTGGGTTTCCCTCTTGCCTGTGCTTTTCTGTCCTACCACGGTGGCCAGCAGTGTGTTTTATAAGCATGTCACGCTGCCTGTTTGATGTGCATGTGTGTTGGTAGCTGCTCCCGTACCTGCCTCTTCCACCTGCCTGAATTTTTGTCCCTGCAGCACTGGCTGGCAGTGGTGGCCTCATTGTCCCAGACCTGACTGGTCCCATGCAGCCATTGGCAGCCAGCTGAACTCAAACCCTGCCTGTGGAGTGGGGTCTGGTGCAGCTGCCGTGTCCCTAGGTTGGGGCACACACCCAGAGGAGGAGTCGCACAAACTGCCACCTGTGCCAGTCAGGGCCTTGGTGCTTCTGGCATTGGTGTTGCCTCTCCAGTGGGGATGAGGTGCATGGGTGAGTGGTGCAAAGTGGCAGCAGTGACTCAGCCTGTGCTGCAGGCACTGCTGGTTGGGAGCTGTCCCTGTCCCCCTGCTTGGAGTAGGCCCTTGCTTTACCTCATGTTTCCTGGCATGGGGAAGGTGGGTGATTTCTGCTTGGTACCGCAGGCTGGCACATCAGAATCAGGCTGAAGGGCCTAGGGAGACAGTCGCGCAGTGTTTTCCTTGCATGGTTGTCCCATGTGTTGGTTGTCCAGTCTTTGACTCTTTGACTCTGGCTGTACAGGTGGTGAGTGTTTGCACCTCCCACTGCCTGCAGATGGAGCTGGGAACCCACCAGTTCAGAGGTCCCACGTTGGTGAGGATGGTGGTTGCTCTCGGAAGGTCCAATAAACAGCCCTTCTGAACAGTGCATTTGCTTGTATGTGAGGTTACCTCGGATGATGCCGTGGGAGGATGGGGTGATGTGTGTTCTCTGGAAACAGGAGCAAGGAGGTGCTAGATGATGTGAAAAGCTGCCTGTGATGAGCTGTGAGCTGAAGGGGGTAAAATAGCAGTTCCAGGGAGCAACCCACTCTCCAAATGGTGCTGACACTTGCTTTAGCCCAACTCTTTTGGCAGAAGAGCAGCAGCCAGGCTGACCTGTGGGGAGGGTCCCCATTCTTTCCCCCTAGCCTCTTGATGTGGACTCCTGTGAGGAGAACTGGTACGATGAAGTCCATCTAGTCACCTTGCATAGGAGCTCTGTGCCCCAGGGAGTGTCCAGTCAGCTTGTGTAGCTTGGAGATCACGTGAGGAAGGACTGGGCAGCTCTACAATGGAAGGAGCGGGGCTAGGATGCCGTGGGAGGACACTGTAAGGGCCTGGGGGATGGTAATGGCTTTGGTCCCTCCATGGACAAAGCAGTCATGGATTTGCAGCTGAAGCCAAATTCTTGCAAGCTCTTGGCCTGGGTATCCTGCAGCAAATGGGGCTGTAATGCCCACCTTGCTTCATGGACCAGGGGAGAAAGAAGGAGTCTGTGGCTATGATGTTTTTCTGGGCCCAGCTCCTTTCCTAGGGCATCTCAGGCACGTCTGAGCTGGTCCTGCAAGAGCTGCTTTTGCTTTTTGTGGGCACGGGTATGTGATCTCACTGGCATCTGCTTAACAGGGACAGGGTAGTTCTGCCCCACAGCAGGTACTGAGAGTGCTGAGTGTCCTCTGAGCCAATTTTTGAGACACCATGTGGAGGAAAGATAAGAGGAAATCCACTGACAGGCCCTGCCTGACTGCCTTCCCCGTAGCTGGTTCCTCCCCTGCATGGCCTGTGAATCTGAGGAGTTGAAGACAGCAAATGGAGCTGCCCTTGGCAAGGTTTTGCAGCAAAAGCCTGAGGGAGATGAAGCAGTAGCTGCTTATCCCATGAGTAGCCAAGAAGCTGCCCACACATAATTTTGCAATGCAGCCTGCAGCTGCTTTCCTCTTGCAGGGAGCCGGAGCCCAGCAGCACTGGGTACTGGCATGGCATGCTTTATGTGGTGCCTGGGAGGGCAGGCTGCTCCCTGTGAGCTTTGGCATGGGCAGCTCTCTCTGCTCTGCTGGGGGCACCAGCATCTCCTGGCATTGGGGTGTTTGTGCCTGGGAGTGCACACAAAACCCCCACAGTGGGTATTGAGTGCTGGCTTCCCCACAGGGTGATGGACAGCCTCACTGGGTAAGCTGCTCTCTTCTTGGGGTAGCTGTAGAGAGGTGCTACCGGGCTCCTCCATCACTGCAACCTGCCTGGGGTGCTTCCTCTGGGGCAGAGCCCTGCCTCTCAGGTGGATGATGACCTCGGTCTCTGAGGCTGCTGACTGAAGCAATTCAGGAGGCATACCACACCACCCACAGGGATGCCCTGGAGATCAACTGCTGAGACAATATTTGCTGATATACCATCACTGGCCCTTGTGCATCTGAGTAGAGTCCTAACCCCCAGCACCAGGGCCATGTCACCTTTCTGAACTGAAATCAAGCAGAAGCAGATGGGGAAACCTGTTTTCTTGAAGAGAACTTCTTTGCCCTGAGAAGCTGTGGATTCCCCATCCCTGGAAGTGTTCAAGACCAGGCTGGGTGGGGCTTTCAGCAACCTGCTCTACTGGAAGGTGTCCCTGCCCATGGCAGGGGGATTGGAATGAGATGATCTTTATGATTCCTCCCAACCCAAACCTTCATGGTTCTCTGAAGTTACAGGAGCTGTGGTCAAAAAGGAGAGCCAAGAGTCCAAGCAGCTGCTATCTATGCTGAGCTGACTTCCTTGAGCATCTGCACTCCATCTTAAGGACACACCCCTCACAGCTGGGCCCTCTGCAGGATAGAGGAAAGCTGAAGGGGACAGGGACAGTCACTTATTCTGTGATTCCTGTTGAATGGAGCAATGGGGCATGGAAGTACGTCAGGCAGTTCCCAGGGCTTGTGCAGTTGTTCTTTGGTCTTCCAGTTCATGTTACAACACAAGATGTACTTTTTAGCAAAGTTTAGGGGGGTTCTTTGAGCTTTGCAGCTGTGAGCACATGTTCCCTCTCTGCACCCTCCCAATAATCCTTGAACTAAAAGGCCAAGAAGCTGTCTTAGGGGGAGATGAATGGTTGTTAAATGTGCAGAGGGGGATCGTGGCTACCCTGATGTCTACCTCCTCTTAAACTCTGTGAGGAAGTTTTTTAAGAGCTGGCAGCAGAACATGGAGTTAGAGCCCTCCTGATAATTTCTGCTGTCACCTGTCACATCTGAATTATGTGGTTATAGTGTGAGCTATCCATTTCTGACTGGACTTGGGGTATTAGTGCAGTTCCCATCCTAGTTCTCCTAAGTGTGTTACAAGGTGCCCCATGACACTGCCTTGGCAAAGGAATGGTGGCAGCCTGGCATTATGGAAGTCTGAGCATAGCTTGGGCTGACTTTGCTTAATATTTTAGCCTCAATTGAGGCTAAAATATTTAGCAAACTTTGGTATAATGCTTGGGAAGTAAGGTAGAGAAGATACAAAATCTGTTAGTGCTATAAAACTTGGACATTGCCTTCTAAAGCATGCCACATGCTGCATATCTGATATGCAGCTTACTTGAGGTACCCCCTCACCTTAACTTTGCTGAGTCCATGTTTCATCCTGTCCTTGCACATCACATTGAGATGTTTTGCTTAGTGGGTTTTGGACTTGGTGAATGTTAGCACTGTGCACAGTTTACTGTGGATGATGGCACCTGCAGCTTTCATTACCAGCAGGAATTTGGTGCACCTACATGTGGGTAGATCTGGAGGACATCAGGTATCAGTCAGGAGTGAGGCAGTTCCGTCTGACATCTCAAGTTTCAGAGTCCCAGGCCAAGTGTGAATGAAGGCACCGAGGACCTTTTCGTCTCTATCCATGCTACAAAGTGTAACCTGGGTGCTGACTTCACAGGGCTTTCCAGAACTCAGATTTTTCTTGAAGGAGCTGGTTTGGGTTCTTGGATGTAAGCATGCCACAGGCCATTTACACAGGCTTTGTAGCAAATATCCCTAAATACTTTGATTACGGGTTTCCAACCCATAGGACTTATTGGCCTGGCCTGTGTGGTTTGTGTCAGAGAGCACATGGTGAACAGTGCAGGCACTGCTGTGTCCTGCTTCTTTACAGGGGATGCAGGACCTGTCCCCACTTTACCATGGTTGCCCTATGATTCAGCCACTACTGAAGCTGCAGCAGACAGTCCCAGGCATTGGAATGGGGGGAACAGCCAGGCCCAGCTGGCGGATCTTTCAGATTTTTCTACCTCCTACCCTTGGCTGCTTGTGTGATGCTTTGAATGACTGTGCTCACAGACCTGCCTATAGATGTCTGTGTGACAAATAGTGACCATCTTTGTGGGAAGGACTCTATTCTCCTTTGCCCTTTCTCAGGCAGGGAGAAGCCCTGCGAAGGGTTGTCTGTCCCCTGCCAGCCAGGCCCTCATCTGGGGATGCTGCACTGGTCTCCCTCTCTCTGTCCTCACGAAGTGGAGTTAAAGGCTGTAGCAGCAGCACACCTGGTTCCTGGTGAGGATTAGATCATGTCACTGGAGGCCAGTGACATGGGTGACTGCCATCTTGCCCTGCCACTGGTGGGGCTGCCAGGGGCTCACCCCTACCTTCTGCCCCAACCCACACCTGCTGGCTCTGACCTGAGTTTCTCTGTCTCATTGCAGCTGGATGAGGAAGAGGAGAGGAGGAAAAGGCGCAGGGAGAAAAACAAAGTAGCAGCAGCACGATGTCGTAACAAGAAGAAGGAGAGGACGGAGTTCCTGCAGCGGGTGGGTGCCCCAGTCTGTCCCAGGGTGCAGCAGGGACCTCCATAGAAAGGTGCTGCAGCTGTAGGCAACATTGCCTCCTGAACTGCCCCTCTGCCTCCCCTTGCTCCTGTGCCCCTTTCTGGGAAAATACAGGCCCTCACTTTTCATGAGGCTCTGAAGGTGGTGGCCATGTATATGCCAAGGCAGAGCATACCTGTGGTGCCAGGGCTGGAGGTGGGCTCTGGGCTTGTGGTGAGGGAGCGACGAGAATGTTCCTGCCTCAGTGCTGGAGCAGGAGCACCCATATGAGTGTGGCACAGGATGGGCTGACACTAGGCTGGCCCCTTGCCTCAATTCCTGAAGGTTTTCCTATTCAGAGCCAGATGCCCATTCACCCGTGACCCCAAGGCAGAAAAACCATCACAGCACCTTGCTGTTTTTCTGCAAAGAGTGGTGAGACATGGGCAAATGACACAGCGGGGGTCAAGGAATCATTTCACAAGGGCAGGTCCTTGCAGGTGCCGGAGGTGAAAAGCTAAACATAGGTTTGTTCCCCAGCACCCTTCCAGACCATGGAAGGCAGCCAGGCAGAGGTTTTGCTGTGGTGCAACAGAGACCTGCCCCAGGCAGTGGCTGCGTATTTCTCTGCAGTGGCACTAGATAGGACAAGGCAGCAGGGCTGGGAACGAAGTGCCCAGAGGGACCTGGTGCTTTGGCAGGTCTTCAGACCGCTCCCATGCTGCAGGGGCTGAGGGGCAGCACTGAGCAGAGGTGGCCTGATGCCTAAATTGTTTCTCCTCGTATCTTGTCCTGCTGGAGTAAAGTCACATGTGGTTGTGTTCCTGTCCTGCTAGGAGTCCGAGCGCCTAGAGCTCATGAATGCTGAACTGAAGGCCCAGATAGAAGAGTTGAAACAGGAGAGGCAGCAGCTGATCCTGATGCTGAACCGGCACCGTCCCACCTGCATCGTGCGGACAGACAGCATCAAGACTCCCGAGAGCGAAGCCAACCCGCTGCTGGAGCAGCTAGAGAAGAAGTGAAGGTGGCACTGGGCCAGGAGGAGGAGACAGTGGCGCAGGGTGTTCCAGGGTCTCTAATGTATGTACTGTATGAAGAACTGTGCACCCAGACCTGGTGCAGTGAGGACCCAGTGGGCTTCCTTGGGAACTATGGACCAAATATGGGGACAGAGAAGATCAGGAACCTGCCAACCATGTACTCTGAGGCTGAACCTGGGAGCAGGGCTAGTGGCACCAGTGAGGGCAACCTCCCTGTGATACCTCATCACAGCCCTCCAGCCTGCTCGCAGCCCTGGGGACTCACGATGCCACAGCATGTCCTGCAAGGACCACACACCCTGTGGGTAGCAGGGGCTGCAGGCAGAGGAGTGGCAGCTGCATGGTGCCCACTAGCACCCTGCCCAGAGGCTGCTGCTACTCCTGGAGCATGCTCCAGCAGGAAACCCAAACCCAAGAACCACAAACACTTGATGCAGCCCCGTTTGGTGGGCAGGCCTGTCGGGGCTTGGTGGCGCAGGCGCCCCCCACAAGCACACTCAGTATAATGTTTACAGCCCAGCTGTCCGTGTCGGCCGTGCTTTTGAATGCACATTTTTACACTTTTTTAAAGTATTTTTTACAAAGTTTTTATACAGCAATCTCTATATGGATTTATATAATCACTAGATGTGATCCTATAGAAATGTATGTTATGATGGTCTGTTTGATACAAACACATATGCCACAGTTATCTCCATTCTGTCACTTGTCTGGTAGCATCCAGCTCCTTTCCTGGCATGCTGGGAACGGGGTCCAAGCTGCCCTCTGCAGTGGTGTCGCTACCTTCTCCATCCATGTATGTCCTTCATAATATTCAGTTCTGTATCTCTCAGTAAATGTTACATTTGCGTATGCCATCCTCCCGTAGCTCTGTTTGGGTGAGGCCACAGTGGGCTCTGGGCGGAGCTCGGCACTGTGGCAGCGTGTGCCGGGGCTGAACATAGCGGGTGTGTTCCTGGCTGAGTGGTATGGTGGAGCAGGTCCCAGAGCTGTTCTTTGTGATTGTCTGAGTTAGTACCTGTGGGCTGGGAAAATTCAGCCTAGAGGAGCTGGGAGCCTTGGAGGCAGCTCTGACTCTTGTCAAGCAAGAAGTAGCTCAGTAGCTCAGGCAGGCATGGCTTACCAGCTGGAAAGGCCATCTCGTCCTTACTCGGTCCTTCTTGTTTCAGTCCCAATTACAGCAGTTTGAACTAATTTCAGGGATAAGAAAGAAATGGGGGAGCTATCATGATGTCTTTGTGGTCGTGATCCCTTTATGCATGGAGGTGTAGAATAGTTCCTTTGGGTCTCTGCCAGGTCCCAGCCTTGCCCCTAACTGACATGCTGGGAAAGCTCCTAAAATCTTGCCTTGGGCTTTGGCCAGTGCTGAACACAGGGGTGTGGAGGTTGAGAAGATAATCAGCCAGGTGTGCTGCAGGTGCTAGAACTGAAAAATCAGCATCCCCATATGAATAACCAAGCCCTGACACTACGGCTTTATGTTCCTGACTCAAAGGTATGAAGGCAGTGGTCTGGACTGGGGCAGACCCCATCTTCACATATGTGCACCACTGAGGTCTCAGAGGAGCAATGGTGCACCCAGTCTTCTCCCACTGTCCAACTCATTTCCATTGTGGATGAGGCTACTTTGATGCAAACTGCAAGTGAAAAGAAGCTTTCAGCATCTGGTACAGATGCGCACTCCAGCCAGGAGCACTGAAGCAATTTGAGAAGATGAGTTTGACCTAAAGGTGACAACAGCATATGAGGTCTTCCTTGGGCATGACTACTTCTCTAGTGCATGTTTCTCTCTGTAGCCTCCTTTTCTAATCCTTAACGTCTGGGGATATCTGACATTAGTCCTGTCTCTTCTTCATACTTTCTTCCTGGATTTCCCCTCCCGTTCCCTAACTTATTTCTTTGAGACCTCACAAAATGCTGCCAGCTGCCTTATTTAGTGTGAAGCATGTTAGATCTGTTAGAGACAAGGTTTTTGTGCCCTGGGAGAAGTTGTTCGCTGAGGTTCTCTAGAGGGATAAGTAAGGGCAGGACCTGAAACAAAGTTGGTGGAGAAAAACAGTGTCTGGCCTGGCTGCCACTGCCTGCTGTGCAGCCCTTGAAGCTGGGCAGCTGTCCATCTGCTGTTCCTTCTGCCCAGACCCTGGAGTAGGTGGCTCAGATGTGACCCATTCCTCAGCTGCTCTCAGGAGCCAATTGTCATTCTTTGAAAAAACGTGATACTTCTTATCAAGCTCTGCTGAAAGGACACAGAGCACTTGCTCGGCCTGCTTATCTCTTCAGGACTTTATTTCCCTCTGCAAAGTGTACATGGTAATGAATTTTCATATTCCTGCAAGTATTGCTTTCCTCTTTTGTGGTCAGCAGGTGCTCCCTGTGGAATATCAGATCAAGCCACAGGCATCTTGTGCTTTTTGCTCACCTGAAGAGCTTGTCAGCTGTCACACCTTCCAGGAGCAGTGGCAGTGCTGTGGAGGCAGACAATGGCCTTTCTCTGGCAAATAGCCACACTGCAGTAAAAATTTCTGCTATGAAAACAGCTGGCTTGGATGAGAAACATAAAGTGCCCTTTGAAACCAAGCATGCTAGAAGCAGTGGCAAAGGCAGCGGCTGAAGAGGATGGATCTGTGTCAGTTTAATGCTTAGCTATTCCAGCCAAGGCTTGGGCAGGAGCTATCTGAGTCCTGGCAATGCCCAGGGGTTAGAATGAGATGATCTTTAAGGTCCCTTCTAACCCAAACCACTCCATGATTCTGTCTTCCAAACAACCTTCTGCTGCCTGCCCTTCTGCTGCAAACCAAGGGATTTGCCACTCGAAGTTTAGGGCATTTCTTTTCATAAGACTTGAAGTTAAAGTTTGAGCCCCTTCCCCTTTAAGCTGGAGCCTGTGAGTATTGAAGGGAAAAGGCTCCATCTCTGTGTAGTCCTGGGGGCTGCAAATTCCTCCTGATTCCTGTAGGAGACAGGCTACTCAGGCTTCTGAGTCTGGTAGCACCTGTCTTCTCGAAACCTAGCATCCACCTTAGAAGAGTTACAAGTTTTGCCGTGGGAGAGGCTGTCCTGCTGAACACGTTGCAGGCTGGTGCATTTATAGTGGCATCTCCTGGGCCTCGGGAGGAGCAGCAGGCACATGCCAGGCACAGCCTATGTTGCTGTATGCCAGAAAGTGCTTCCAAACCAAAATAGCAATGATTGTACCTGTGGCAGTGTCCTCCCACCTGGAAGGTACTGCGATGGCTGCTAATGTGTATTTGCTTGGAAAAGCCAACGGACACTTCTCAAAGGGCTGGAAGGCACCTCCTGACCATTCCACACCACCATATCCTGTGCTAGGTGTGCTGTGGGCCACTACTGGGTGAAGCTGATGGGTTCTCATACGCTGACTGTGGTGCTGGAGCCGATAGCCCGATAGATGTAGGGTGCTGCCAGCCCCACTATCCCGGTCCAGCCTGTCGTAGGGCTGCATCCCTCATGCTGATGGGTACACACACACACACACACACACACACGTGGATCCCTCTCGTGGGTGGCTGAGGTTGGCTGTAGGCAGAGCCGCAGTTGCTGGCCCTGGGCGCAGGAGGCCGGAGGATGGCAGCCGCTGCTGCTGCACAGCTCATGTCTCGCTCGCTGGCTGCTCCAGCCAGAGGCTCGCTCGTGCTCACGCAAACCTGCACACGAAGTGGCTGGAGACAGGCACGCAGGAGCCCGTCGGCGGGCTGGATGCTTCAGTGCCTGGGCACCGAGCAGGGACCGCGCGGCCGGTTCTTCTCCCTCTCCCTGTGCCCTGTGACGGCGGCTTTCGTGGCCTCTTGGTGTCCCGCTGGCGTGCGCTCCCCAGGCTGCCCCCGGCCCCTCCGCTCCCCCATGCGCTCCGGCGGGGCGGGAGGAGGCGGCGGGAGCCGGGACCGCCGGCAGGAGGCGCGGCGCGGCCGCGGGAGCAGCGGGGCCGGGGCGGGCGGTCCCAGCACCGCTCCCGCTGGGACACGGCCGGGCGCGGGTCCCGGAGCCTGGGAGAGCGCACCGAGTGTTGACTGCCCCCGGCCCGGCGGGCAGCCCAGAGCGGGTCCAGAGCAGCCCCGCGGGAATGGGCAGAGGGCTGGAGCGCCTCTCCTTTGAGGAAAAACCGCGGAAGCTGGGGCTGTTCAGCCTGGAGAAGAGGAGGCTCTGGGGAGATCGGAGAGATTTTCCAGTACCTAAAAGGCCTATGAGAAAGCTGGAGAGGGACTTTTTACCAGGGCCTGTTGTGACAGAACAAGGGCTAACAGTTTTAAATTGTAAAAGGTTTTGGATTGGATATAAGAACTTTTTAAAATTAGGTTGGTGAGGCACTGGAACAGGTTGCCCGGAGTCGTGGATGCCTCAGCCTGGAAGTGTTCATGGCCAGGCTGGATGGAGCTCTGAGCAACCTGGTCTAGAGGAAGGTGTCCCTGGCCATGGTGGGGGTTTGGAACTAAATGACCTTTTAAAGATCTCATCCAACCCAAACCTTTCTGTCATTCTATGGTGCATGGTGCCATCCCATGGTGCCAGATGGTTCTTGTCAGACATAAGCCCACTCAGCAACATTGGTGCTTCCCAGCCATTTCACCTGCAGGTCCCTCTGCTTCTGAGATACCTGAGGTGCCTCAACAACCAGGACCACCAGCAGGAACTCCTGATGTGCCAACAGCCCCCTCTAGCACATGTCTATCTCCTGTTTTGTGAGATCTACGTTCAGGTCATAACCCTTGTGCTCCTTCCCACACTCCCTAGTTCGGACCAGAGCTCTCCCCAGGGTACCATGGTACAACATTTTTCCTGAATCCCAAGCAGGTGAGCCCCATCACTTTTCCACTGCTTAAATGCTTGTCACATATCCCTGGTGTCCTTCACATACTATCCCAGTTTCCTCTGCAAAGCCACTCTTACCTCTTCTCTCCCAGGAAAAGGTAGGTGCCACTTTGCCTCAAAGCACCGGGCCTGAGGCACTGCAGGTGTGTTGGGCTGAGGATCCAACTACAATAGGTTGGTGTGGGTGCTCCACACTGCACGCCTGACTCCCTTCTTCTTGCTGGACCCCTGAGAAGTGGCAGGGCCCATGGGCAGCAGGAACTCTGTTTCCCCACAAGGGTCTCTGGTCTTACCAGCTCTTCACCTCCTCTCCTGCAATCAGCTCATCCCAAAAAGGTTGAACAACACATCATGCTCCCAAAGATTCATGTTAGCTCTCTTCCTTTCCTCCTCCTCTCACCCTCTCCCCACCTGCTGCCCCCATCCCCTCGTAGGTGAGAGTCTCTGTGTGCTGTCATGTGAGCAAAGGCATCCAACATCTCCCTTGGCCTGCAGCTGGTCAAGGCAAGGGATGTTTGGAGGCCATTACTTTGCAGTTTTTCACAGTATTGTTCTCGCTTTGTATTTGAAAAACTGCCTCCTCTGCCCTTCTCATCAGGGGCCAAGGGCAACTCTGTGACATGGTGGTAAGTGGTATTAACTAACCTTTGCCAGTGACCTGCCTCTCTTGTTTCATTTTGAGCCAAGGGCAACAGGTATTCGTTTATCTTTGTCCTTATTGGTTCGTCTACTCAACTTGCTGCAAAACAAGCCCCAAAAATCCCCAGCTTTGATATTTACTAAGAACTGTGAAAACTGCTTTGATTACCATGCATGCCAGACTATGCTGATCAGTACTGGCACCAGCATGGCCCACGACCGAGTGCAGGACTGAGCCAGGGAAAACTGTGTTGCCAAGATATTCGCTGAGAAATGAGAAAAACTAACTAGTGCTTCCTTGAGCCTGGAAGTATCACTTGGTTCCCCATGCCATTGTGCACTTTTTGCTTATTTGTGATCACTGGTTGCTGGTGATTGAAGCATGGGGGTGAGACAGTGGGATGCGGGTACAAGCCCTGGGCCTGCATGGAGGCACCATGCTCCTGCTGGGCTTTGGAAACTGCCCTGAGGGCAAAGCAGGCTGGGTCACCTGTCCCTGATTAAGGGTATGATTCTCTGTGCAGTTGGTGGGGTGGCCAGGGGTCATCTCCCATCTGAGTGATGCAGGCAGGCAGGGCAGGTGCTGTCAGAGGTATAGCCAGACCCACTGGCAGTGAGCTTGCTGTCAGCATCTCTGCCACCAACACTTTCCATCTGAGGAAAAGATCCTTCCCTACAGCCAGGAGGTCTCCTTGGCTCTTGCTGGGCAGGACCACAGGGAAGGGCTGGCACCTCAGACAGCATGGCTGGGATTTGCCTTTTCTCCATCTGGTGCTCAAGAAGTTATTCCCAATTAACTAAAGTGTGGTGATGAAAAACCTTCCTCCAGATGTCCTGCTGCTGCGTTACAATGGGTTTACTTTGGTTTGGCATTTTGAAGTGGAGTGACCAACTCAAGTGGACTCCAGCCCAGGGGTGCATTTAGCAGAGTGGGCAGTGAGTATGACGGCCTGTGGTGATAAGCTCTTTGTGAGCACAGCCTACTCAGAAGGAGTGAGCTGTCTTGTATCAGGACTGCTCTAATTCTGATTAACACCATCTGCCAAGGAGTTTATTGAACTTCAGTCACTTCCAAATTTAATGCAGCTTAGCTGTTCTGAATGTATCTGTGCAGACTGACTTTTTGTTCTCCAGCCCTGTATCCTACTGTCCGTGCACAGTGTGTGAGCAGGGTGCCATAGGTTTTGGTGAACGGTTAGCCCCTGTGGAGGAGGAAAAACTCTAGCCATTGAAGGCAGGAGGTGGGTCACTGTGGGTAAGACTGATAGTTCCACATCCCTGTCCAGCCCAAGGGACTCTGCTAGACAAAAAGGCCCTGTGTTAGCAAGCTGATGGACTTTTCCAGCCTTGGCTCCCAGAATTGCAAACCTAGAGCTCCTAAGAAATACCAGCAAGAAGCTAAGTCCAGAAGCTTGCACAGGTTTCAGCAAAAGCAGAGGTTGGGAGTGTTTGACGAGGTTTCACTGCTGCCTGTCACGTCTCAGATGAAGCTTCAGGAACAGGATCCTTTGCCAGTAACCACCACCTTGTGCTGATGTTATCTAGTTTCTGCAGAATGAACTTGCTGAGTTGTCATCTGTGGCACTCTCAGGGGAAGTCCTGACTCCTGACACTGCAGTTCCTGCCTCTGCTTTGCCATAGCCCCAATTCCAGCAGCATCATCTGGGCTGGTTGGATTTGCTGGACACCTGCTTGTCCTGAAATGGCATGGGTTGTCAGGAGGAAGTAGGCAGCAAGGCTGTGCTGCAGGCCTGTAGGTTCCCAAATCCAGTGAAGTCACTAGGCAGGCTAACACATAGTTTCTGACTGAGGATAGAATGGCTACTGACAGCTCATAGCAAGGTGATGCTGGACACCCAGTGACCAGTTAGCAAGAGGGGGTTTGCACCAGAGCTAACGTGTGGGTATCAGCAAGTGCCTCTCAGTACGTGGGCTACTGGCTTCTGTGACAGAGGCGAGCTCTCTGGGTGCCAGACAGAGGCACTGCTGCATTGCGCAGACGTTTGCTGAGTGAGGCATCCCTTTTCTTCTGTGCAGACTTTCCCTACAAGCAAAGTGACCTGATTCACTCACCAGCTTCAGCCAGCAGCTAATAGATGAGTAGCTGATGGGTGCTGGTGCGTGCTGGCACTGCTGTGTGACCAGGCAGGATGATGGTATCCCATGCTGCCAGTGTAACAGACTGGCAGAACCAAACTCACTGGTTCAAACAAAATCCCTTGGCTGCAGGCGCGAGGTGTTCTCTGTGTCTGTGATGTAGATGCAGGCATCTGTTCTGCTGTCTATTGGACACCTCAGGTCACTGGATCACGTGCACAAGTTTTAAGAGCAGTGCAAACTGCTGGTGTATCCTACCTGGCCACTTGCATGTGAGATGGAGCCTCATTCAGGCAGCACTTAGGGGCACATTTCTACATCTGATAGCAATCATCTGCTGCAGCCACAAGGTTCAGCAGCTGGAGTCATATGTTGGGGTAGCAGCACCTCAGCATTTCTCCCAACCGTGCTCTGGAGCATGCCTAAGTGCCAGCTGGCACCTAGGTGGTTTAGATGAGAGTGCCAATGGGCTCAAGGCTGTGCTCCAAATTCAGGATAGAACTGCCTGGTGGGTCCCTCTCACTGTGCAGCAGTGGGGAAAGGAGGAAGGTTGTGTGAGGAATGCGATGAAAATCCATCCTTTATAACTGTAATGCCGTGGTACATGGGAGGAAGCGGTGAAATTGGGAGACATCCAAAGATAGGTGCTGACCTGAATTAGGGCTGCAGGAAAATTTCCCCATGTGGGGACTAAAAGTCCCACTAGTTTAGAGTGGAAACTAGTGAAATGCCATGTGATAGAGACGTGCAGAGCAATGCCTGGCTCAGAGATAAGTCTGTTCCTTTGCTCACCCCCTCACAAGATGTTCAAAGAAATGGAAAGACAACTCATTTCAGACTGGTAAACTGACATACTTTTCACAAAGCCAGGAAACTGGTTTGTGCAGGTGGACAAGATGCCCTATTGGCCAACAGTTTCAGAGGGCTCACAGGGGATCAGGTATTGATTGACATGAAAAACAACGATACCCAAAACTGAAGTTAGAAAGTCTGGCTTAAATAAGATAGAAAATGGCATGATTCTTGGGCATCAACTCTAGAGTTTTGGTAAAGAATGGCAGGAAGGAGTTTCTATCTTTTTTCTGTCCCCTCTTTGAAGCTGATGTTGGCGGTATTATTTATGTCAGGAGGACTGACTTTTCAAGTCAGGGCCTTGCAGCAGCGCTACTGGCATGGCTAAGAGCATAGCACTTCTCCCTCATCCCACCTCCAAAGCACTGTCAGGGATGAGGTGCAGGTCACCTGTTTCTGGGCACTGGTCCTGACAGCCACTGCCAAAGCTGTGGGAAAATTAGCCATGCCCCAGGAGGCTGGTTACAGAGCTCCTCTCTCGTGCCAGGGTACTGAAACGTGAGGGTGGAAAGTACAGGATTGATGGTCATGTGAAACTGTCCATCTCCCTCAGTCCCTCCCTCCATCTCTCCCTCTGCTACTCTGAGTCCCCTGAGGAAACCTGTGGGAATTTGTAAGTCCTCTGAAACAGCCAGCACTAAATGGGTCCTCCCTTGTGTTTGGGTGTTGAACCATGAGCCTCCCTCCCTCCTTATGTTTCTCTCAAAAGGGCATTCAAGAGCCCTGAGCTGGGCAGGAGCTCCGGGGGATGGACCAGGTGTGGGACAGGGGCTCAGCCCTGCTGCTGCCTCCCTTGGCAGGCTGCTCTGGGATGGCTTGTCTACCAGAGAGCTGGCAGCAGGAGAGAGCCGTGGGTGCGCCAGTGTGCACCAATGCAGCATCTGGGCTGATGGGGCTTGAACACATTTGTGTGTTTTGATAACTCTGCCAGTGTGGTACTACCAATCAGCACTACTTGCACAGGCACCAGCTGTATCTTCTGCACAGCTCCCTTGTCCTCTCCTTCACAGCTTGTCTGCTCCGTGCTGCCTGTCCTCCCCTGTGCTGCCTCCGACATGCTGTGCTCCAGTACTGCTTGTACAAGCCTCTCACATGCCTGGGCACAAGCTCACTGCATGTGCGCCCATCAGTGCAGCTACTTGTGCTGAACACCCCCTCCAGCTACGCTGCGGGAGCTGAAGTATTTCGGAAGCTCGTTCCCACCAAATGGGGTGGGCAGAAGGGAGAACCAGTGTATACATCCATGTAATCCAAAATTGAAGCAGATCCCATCGGGGTGGGAACACAGTACTGGCACGAGTGTTGTTCACAGCCATCCTCTGCTGAGGTGGGTGTCTTGGAGTCTGGCTGTAAGAACATGCCCTAAATAAGCTGTACTCAACCCTTAGGAGTCTTTAACATGTTTTACGGTGATGGGTGGTGTTGAAAAACATTTTCCTCTGAATAGCGTCATGGAGCAGCAACGTAATACACTCAAAGTCATGCATTAATTTAAGAGACAAGTAACACATTCACCATCCGCCCCCATGCCATGCATCATGGCTGCAACCAATGCCCAGTAAACATCAAATTCTCCATCAGGCTGTGGTCATCCCCTGGGAGCACAACTTTTGCTACTTGGTCGCTTCAGTTGGAGTCACTGCAGCACTAGCAGAGGCCCAGGGTTGGGTCCTGCTGCCACTGTGGCAGGGCTGGACAGCCACATGCTCCTCTCCTGCTCTTGTGGTAGCTTGGAAATGCACATGCTGGACAGCATGAAGGAAGCTGGGGCTATGGCTGCTTACCAGCACCAGTGAGCCTACCCCTGGGTGGATCAGCACTTCTGGTTAAACGGGTCACTGCCCTTCCTCTTTGGGCCTTCCCCGTCATCACCGAACGAGACTGCCACCGAGATGAGTCAAACCGTCAGACAACATCTGCACCCTCTGCACACCCCGTCCATGCGCTTGGATAGTTCAACTGGTGGGCTCAGCCCAGGCAGCGGAAGCAAAGAAACCCTTGTTGACTGGGGGGTGTCTGGCAACTGAGCCTTTTCGGTGTCCCAAGTGCGGCTGAGTGATCTGGTCCACTCCTGACCATTTCCCAGAAGCTAGACAGGGCCTGTGAAGACAGCAGTGAGAGAAAGTTTTGCCTTAGATAGATATACTCTACCAGGGTTTGGGATCTGCTAACCTGGAGACTCCTGTAAGTGCACACCTGAGTACTTGCTCATGAGCTGCAAAGTCCTTACCAGGAGAAGATTAGAGGTTGCTCAACTAATTACCCAACCAGTCTATTTGTAGAGGACAAGAGAATGTGGTTCACCTCTTCAAAATAGCCTGGAGTGAACTCTAATAAATCTGTAGCTTGACACAGAAACTCCAGTATGTGCTGGAAGTCTGACCCTGACAACCTCCTGCCAGTGCTTCAGCTGAGAGCTCTAGCCAGGCTTGCCTTCCCCCTCTAGTGGGGTGAGATGTACCCCAGCTACTTGGAGCTTGTTGTCTATATCTGGAAAGCTAACACATTTGGCATTTCCTTTCTATAGCTTCCTTCTTTTAAAATATGGACCAAAGAAAGCATTACTAATGACATTCAAAACCCCCTCCTTAAAACTGGCAAAGCCAAGTACCAAAGAGCTAGAAATTGCCAGAAATGGGTTTGCCTGGGCAACCTAACTTCCACTGTCTTGTGTATATGATCACTTCCTGCATTTTGCCCTGGATTGCCACCTCTTCAGCACCCAGGCTGGACCTTGGCTGGAGGGAGCGAAGAGCTGGTCAGCTAGGCTGCATCCTTTCTTAGCAGGGGTGGGAAACTCCCATGCAACTGGTGAAGCAAGGGATTGCAGCAAGAAAGGAGAGTGTCTTGGTAGACAGTTGGTGCCTCCCTGGAGAGTTGGGTCTGTGTCTACCCCTGCCTCGAAGTTACTCTGTGAGTCGGTGAGCCACATAAGCAAGAGCTTTCACAGGAGCAGCCACGTCTTCCTCATTTGGCAGAGCTGCTTTACAGAAGTGCTAAAAGTTTGCAGCTGCAGTCACAGACATGAGGATCTGGGGTTTGATTAAATTAAGTGTTATATAGGGCCAAAACCACTGAAAAATTTAGATTCTAGTTGGTTCAAAACATGTTCAAAACAAAATGAATGAGTACTTATGACCTAAATCTCTCTTTGTCTCTTCTTTTGCACCTGTTAAATAGGGATAACTCCACCTCCCATCCCGAACCTGAAAAGGTGGCTGAGAAGATAGATTAACTAATAACCATGAAGAACTCACTCAGCACTGAAGCAATGAGCACTAGAAGGAATCCATGAAGAAATGGAAAAGCAGGATGTTGGAGCAGGCCCTGACTGCAGGACAGCAATGAAGGTAACACAGCCATCCCAGGGAAGAAACCTTAGCTGGTCATGAAGTTACAGAACACAGCATGTTGCTTGGCATGAGGGTGTAAATGCAGTGTGTTTAAGGGAATTAAGTCTGGGATTTCCATACTTTTGAGTGCTTGATTTACGGTACTTGTCATTTATCAGACATTCTGGGTGTAAAGTACCTGTTTCCTGGCAGGTTGCATCCAGTAAGGATTGAAAGTGTTGGTATGATGAGCGTTTGCTCTCTGTTGGTTGGGGTGAATTTGGTGGGACTATTCTTGAGCAATCCTGGCACAACCTCCCTCTCACACTCACTCCATCAGCCAGGATGAAATAGCCCTGGTGACTGAGCCTGGGGAAGCTGCCCACATCAGAGACAGGTCCAATATATGCTGACAGAGCAAGACATGGAAGAAGCATCTGGTTGAGAGCAGGGACTTTGTTCAACACAGACATTTGCTTAACATCTCTTATCAGCACTGATTTCTACACAAAGGTCTTCAAACTCATGATAAGGAGTGATAAGGAAATTGCTGCAATTGTCCAAATATTGTAAGAAATTATTTGCATAAAATGCTACATGTGAAGGAGAAACAACCTCAGTGGTTTACAGGAGGCTGAAGTTGGTAGCTGCTCTAGCCTTGATTTTTAAATAGCACAATGCACTGAATGGTTGTGCAAACAAGATGAGTGAGATGGATGGGGTGAGATGCAGTTTTGAATGTTGCTGTCCTAAGCCTGCAGCAAGCGAGAGGGCTCGAAACGAAACTCCTGCACCCACCTGTGCTGAGGAAGCTAGTTGCACAGGGGGACATGGACTTTGGAGGCAAAGGTGCTGGCTGCAGCCCAGGCTAAGAAATGGCCCATGTGCTCTCTGGTCTCTGATGAGCCCCTCTTTTTTTTTTTCTTTTTTTTTTTTTCTTTTTTAATTTTATTTTTTCCTTATTTAAACCCTGGAAACATAACTCATAATATAATCCATCCTACATAGGCAGGATTCAACCTCTACCCTCTCCTATAGAGGTTTGTTCCCAGCCACTTCATGTGGAGGGCTTGAGTAACTTTCCTGAACTGCCCATCCCAAGGTCTTCCTATGTTCATCTTGCTTTGAACCTCAGATCTGCACCTTTCCTGCTGCAGTTGGAGCTTTCTGCTTCTTACCCTGCTCTGGCTGCACAGAAACCAATTGACCACCCTTTCCATTACAACATATGAAAGACTGCTCCTTCCTCCCCACCCACTTCCCACCCTCAAAACTTCTCTTTTCTAGGCTAAATGGACCCAACTTCTTCACTCCTTTCTCTTAGGGCAATATTTCTATGTATTTATCCTTTGTATTGTTTTCTTCTGGACTATTCCACTTCTGGATCTGGGACTCTGAATGGGTCCTGGCCCTGCACAGGCAGTACAGGGCAGTGATCTCCCCTGCCTTGTCCCTGCACCCCAAGCCAGTACCCAGCTCCTTTGTGACACCTCCGTGCTGCTGGCAAAGCTTTGGTTTTCAATGCTCTGCAACCCCCGGATTTTTCCCTGCTGTTCTGCTGCCCTGGTTGGTTATTCCCCAGATCTTCTCCCTGCATCTCGCTTTGCTTTACATTTGCATTTGTTCTTGCTGAACTGCATCTTGCTGCTTTCAAACCATTTCTTCAGCAGTTGAGATCACATTAAGCCCAGCCTCCAGAGTCCCTGCAATCACTCTGTCCCGGGAGAAAAGGACTCCCTTAAGCCTGCTCTTATTCAGACAGGACAAATGCAGGACTGGATGGCCCCATACTTCCTCTAAGACTCTCTGGAACTATCCCTTCTCCATCAGGCTGCTGGTATGGCAGCAACCTAACACTTGTGGGTTCATCCAATGCCACTGAGAGTGATTTCACTGCTACTGTGATCAAGATCAAGAAACCTAAATGATCCCAGAGAGAAACTCAGGGGATGTTATTCACTGTGAATTTAGTCACCTGTGTCAAGCACCAAGATTAGGAGACTGCCTTCTGAGGCTCCCCCTCATAGCAGGGGAGAGCCTGGGGAGGGGCAGCAGGAAATCAGCTCCCCAGCCTGCAGCAGGTGCCAAGGGCAGCTCCCACAGAGCTGTGAGCAGGTGCTGGTGGAGCCATATGGTGGTTTCTGCTGCTCTGGGTTGGGGGATTGCATCTCTGACCAGAGGAATGGCATGGGGCACTGCCTGTGAGGAGACAACATGGGTCCTGCCGAGCCCAGAGGAGCACTGTGAAGGCTCTGCCATCTTCCCACCAGGAGATCCTGTCTCACAGCACACTTATTCACTCATAAGTGACAGGAATTCATTAGCATCATAGCTAGCTTGAGGGCAAGGAGTGTGTTTGGGCAAGGCAGGAAAAGGGATGTTCTCTTAGTCCCGCTCAGCAAGACCAAGTGTCCAAGCCCTCTCCTCTGCTGTCACTCTGTCCTGAGGTGTCTCCATCAGTTGTCAATAAAAGCCCAGCTCTGGGCAAACCAAGGTGCAGGTCAAAAGTTTCTTCCTGTGGATCAAAGAATAGCTTTTGCCATAGACACATTCTGGACAGTTTTGCACAGACTGTCCAGCTCCTGCCAGGACACCCAGCTTCCCTGCATCACCTCCTGCCAACACAGCCACCACCTTTCCTATTGCCTCCTTTCAGTTACTGGTCTTTCTAGATACAAAAGGATGGAATTCATTTTTTTTTCCCAATAATGGAAAAATGATATTTTTCTCTGAGGAAGGAGCTCTCTCCATCCTGCCCTAAGCAACAGCAACATGTCGAGCAGGATGGGCCAGGCAGTCTCTGAGACCCACTCGCCAGCAGAGGAGTGTGGTTTCCTCAGGAGAGTGGGAATCCAGACCGTGCTTCCTGGAAAGGAAGTGCCGCTCAGGGTTGCAGAGTTCAGAGGAAGTGTAGCAATGCAGCAAGTGAATGGATCCTTCAACAGTTGTGCTGCTATCTGGTGCCTTGAGACTCAATGCCCCTCATCTCACCGATGCCTTTGGCTACTCCATTCCTGGAGCCAGCCACACCAGAGGAGCCCTGCCTGCTACAGGGCTTTTACCAGGAGATATGGTACTGCCAGGAGATCAGGTCCCTCATGGTGGTTCATGCCAAGCAACCAAACCCTTGCAGCCATGTTAGAAAGTGTAGTGGATCCTAACATTTCTCTACAGCTCACCAGGGGAAAAAATACACTCATAGCTGTAAAATGTTCAGATAGTAGAGCCAAGGGCAGAGCACCAGTGTCACAGGATGTTTCTAAAGAGGGAAATGGGTCAAAATGGAGCAGTTTTGCTACTGGAGCTAAGCCAGGCAATTTCACCAAGCTACCCAGACTGCAGCCAGCCCCAAGCAGTTCTTCTTCAGCCCCACATTTGCCCATGTGTTGGCTCTATGAGTCGTGGCAAGGACGGGAAGAAATGCCAGCAATGCCCATGCGAGTCTGCACTGTGTTCCAAGCACGTGTGCTTTCTGTGCTGCAGTGTGGCTGCAGACCCAAAGCTGCCAATACTCTTGCTGTAGTGACCACTGCATCTCAAGTGCTCTTGCTGATGCTCTGCTGCTGAGACTTGCTAGCTGCTCCTCCTTTAGGCAGGAGAAACTCAAACAAAATACCAATATGCAACAAAAACCAGTAAGGAGGAACTGGGAATTGCTGCTTTCCACAGGAGAGGGTTACTGTGGATAGGTTCATGCCTGTTTCTGTATCTGCTCCTTATGGCGCAAGCGAAAACATAGTCATTCCAAAGATATGTGCTCCTGTCTGTGGGTAGAGAGGCTGTGTTGGCACGTGGCCCTGGTTCATCCTGCTGGATCTGCTAACATGAGCAGATCAGAAAATAAATGGTCCCTGGTTTAACACTCCTGCATTGTCACCTCCAGAGCCACTAGCACTGAAGCACTGCTGTTCCAAGGGCTGCTTGCATGTCTTCAGTCTGAGGTTTGTGCTCAGGATGGAAGTAGTCCCACAGAGCACAGCCCAAGGGGACACATCCCCACAGGGGACAAACAAAGGGATGCAAAGCAACTTCTCCTTGCTGCTGTCTGTACCAGCTGATCCATAGATCATCTGTGGCCAGGGTAGTTTGTCTGCCAGGGTTAACGACCCTTATGGGCCAGTGGTGACATACTGTTGAATGCTCTAAAGTGCTAAATAGCTTTGCTTATAGGAAATACTAGTCCTACCAAATCCAGTTCAAATGTTCTATGATCCTGAGCCTTCTTCTTAGATAGGACTGGTGCTTCATCGTACCCATGCGAGCTATCCACACAAACAGCATTTATGTGGCACCTGCTGAGGGTGTCAGGGATGGCAGGAGGGGGTGGGTGGGTGGTGGGAAGGTGGGTGGCTGCCTGGGAATTTCCCCAGCTGGCTTGGGGTGGCCTAGGCTGCCTGGGCCTGGACTGACCCCCTGCCTGCATGGGGCTGGCACGACATGCAGTGCCCCTGGAATTTCTGGGGCCCCCAGCAGCACCTCCTCCGCACTGCCCTCCTTTGAGGGTCCAAGTTTCACAGCCAGAGCTGGGGCTTTTCTTCCTTTCCATCTCTGCTGTTTGTCTCAGAGAAAACCCATCTTGTTGTTTTTCAACTGCCTGAAGGTGTTTTTCGGGGGTTTTTCAGGCTATTTTGAAGTTCATTTTTCCCAGATGTGCTTTTTTTTCTTCTTCTTTTTAATTAATTTTTTTTTCTTCTGTAACTTTTCTTCTTTGCCTTAAAGTTTCCGGCCACGTGACTTTCAGCTTACATCCCCGAGGTTCTGAGAAACCACAGGAGGCTGAGACCTAAAGGGAAGGTGCAGAGGCTCAGAGGAGAGGCAGCGAAAGTGTAGGGAGTGTTGGGCAGAAGGACAGTGTGCCTCTGGGACAGGTGAGAGCAGGGAAGCCAAGGGCCATCTCAGAGGAGGGTAGGAGAGAGGCAGAGAAGCAAGACAGAAGGCAGGAACACCAAGAGCACAAAGGAAGCTGAAGAGACCCTGGGAGCCAGAGACAGGAGCCATGCCCCACAGCTCCGACAGCAGTGATTCCAGCAGCTTCAGCCAGTCTCCCCCTCCCAGCAAGCAGGTAAAACAGGGACCTTTCCCAGGTCTCCCCAGATGGAGAGTCCTTTGGCATGGGCCCTGGGTGGGTGGGAGGTAGGGTGGCACCCACTGTTGGTGTTTTCACAGCGCAACATGGCAGAGCTTTCTAAGAACGGCTGTGGGGAGAGGGATCCAGGGCTCAGTCAAGGACTCTGGCAGGAGCCCCTGCCACTGAAGCGGGTAAAGGAGGATAGAGAAGGCCTGGTTACCTGGTGCTATGCCAGGAGCAACTGGGGGGCCAGGACCCTAGGCATGGTGAGTCCTGCAACACATGCCAGGCAGGCAGGAAGCTTCATCATGAGAGCTGGTGCTCTGGCAAGGAGCCTAAGCAGGCACCTCCTGGCCATGAGCTGGAGTAGCTCAGGGGCAGCCTGCCTGCTTCCTGCTCCTGTGAACAGCATTTGGGACTCAGAAAAGCCCTGACGCTTTGGGTCTGCTTTCTTTTCTGTTCAGCCTCAGAGATCTTTCATCTCAGTAATGCTTGACAGAGGGATTTTGTTTTGTTGCATGGCATACTTTAATGCAGGTCTTTTGCTGACAGATACTGACACAAATCCAAGGTGTTCCCACTACCTTTTCTGGCTAAACTTTATTATATCTGTCATTTGCCATTTCTCTAAGGCTGGCAACAAATGGCAAGTACCTGAGACTTTGCTCAGAAATCTTGGGGATGATCAGAGCAGATGATTTTTGGTTTGCAACAAAGGATGAGGAGGCATCCTTGTAGAGAAAGGGATAAAGCACAGGGTTTGCAAAAGGATGGTGACTGAACTTCATGAAGAATATGTGAGATGCTGTATCTGAGACATTTTCAGGGACTTGAAAGCAAGGACAAAACGGTTAAGTTCAAGGAAAAAAAAATCCTCGGTGGGGGGATGGGGGAGAGGATGTGGACAGATTGATGGGCTGGGAAGATAACTTTTGTGGCTGACTTTTGTAGTCTTGTGGAGAAGTGGTGGTGTGAATGTTAAAGAGTCCACAAAAGGGGCAGTGCAATATGAAAATAGAAGATGAAAGAGACTGTTTGACAGTTTCAACTGTCATAAGGCAGTAGAAGGACCAGATCTCAGCAGAGAATGGCTGGTCTGGGAATCTCGTGACTTGGAGCCTGGAGACCTGTTCTCCCCTGCCCAAGGAAGTGTTGCAGTCAGCATTACAGGCATTGCTAACCAAGGGAATCCAGGAAAGAGCAAGCACAGAGACCAGAGAGCTGAAGCAAATGAGATCTGGGTTAAACCCAAATGCTCTGAGTCTGTCTAGTCAAACAAAGCAAGGGCCACATTGCATTGAGAGGGTCCACAAAAAATAAAGCCTGAGGGAGGAGGATGATGAAGAGGGGAGGAACTCACAGGGGTGAAAGGAGGAAAACACAGGTTGTATCTTTGGAAAAAAGGGTTTATCCAAGAATCTGAAATGTCCACATTGCCATTACCCTGCAGAGAGACAGGGAAGGGAAAGGTTTTCTGTACAAGAATTCAATTGTTTCTCTTCCAGAAGGAGGTCCTTACTCTGGTCCATCAATCCATATCCCCGGCCCTGGGTGTTAGTGAAGGGAGAGTGGTCATTTCCCAGGAGTACTGGGATGCCCACGGGTATCAGATGTGCCCCTCCTGGCAATGAGGGTGCCAAAAGCATCACGTCCCTGGGCTATGGCTTTATCCTGGTATGGAGGGTGTGTATCTCATGTCCTGTGCTTCAGTCATGTTATCTGTTGTGTTCCCTTCCCACTTACTGCCCTGCAGGAGAAGGGTGAGGGAGGGAATGCCCCAGTTATTTCTATGGCTTGTTTCCCTAGGACTCTTCTGATGACATGAGGAAGGTCCAAAGGAGGGAGAAGAATCGTATCGCTGCCCAGAAGAGCCGCCTGAGGCAGACCCAGAAAGCGGACACACTGCACTTGGTGAGCACTCCCACTCTTCTTTTTCCTCAGTACTGAGGGCTCACAGAGGACACAATGTGCTTTTCCCCTGCGGCTCGGAGTGGAGATGCTCAGTGGAGGCAGGACAGGAGAACCGAGGCCAGGGCAAGATGTAGGAGTTAGCACTTGCAGCGAGAGCACACAGCCCAGGACGACTGCCACAGAAGCATTTAGTTTTGCCCCTAGTTTTGAATCCATCTTTATCTCTCAGTCTTTCATTACTGATTTCCTTTTCCAGCCTCTTCTGACTGAGTCACTCAGAAGCTGTTTGAAAGCACGGTCTCACCTGGGTTGAATCTCCCTGGGTTTGCAATTCATGCCATCATTTATGCAGAGATGCGACAGCATACAAGGGTGCTTTTCTGTGGCACTGTGGGCACCTTTGCAGCTCTTCTTGGTGTGAAGAATTAGATGTCTGCTTTTCAGAAGGGATGGCCACTTCTGGCTGTGTGTGTTTGGGCAGGAGTATGTGGTCAGTGTCAGAGCACAGGGGCTGGGATCTTCTGAATTTTGCACATTGGTAAGTGCAGTCCCATATGTTTTGGACTACTGGCAGGTAGGATGAAGAACACCCAACATGCACTGAACAGAGACCATCTTTATCTCTGCACTAGGTTGGCTGTCCTTTGAAAAGTTGTAGTTGAGCTCATGTTTAAAAAACCATCCTTTGACTTAGCGGTCTTCATATTCCCCCATATGCAAATTTTTGGGAATAATTCTTGAGAATCCGGTCCTGAACATTCCTCCTTACATAGTGGCCTCAACCCATGGTTGGAGCTGGGTTTAAGACAGAGATTTCACTCTTTTCTCAGTCAGTGATGATTATTCTAGAGCTGACATGGCTCTAGACTGGTTGAATTACATCTGCCAGCAGCAGTGGCTCTGAGTGACTGTGCCTGAGAGCTGTGACAAAACACCCTTTCCGTGGGGTCAGTGCTCTCTCCAAGGTAATCCTAGAGGTAAATATGGGCTTTGTTCCTTCCCTAGGAAAATCCCGCCTAGTTGTTCACCAAGAATTGGACTACTTTTCCTAGAGCAGATAACAAACCATTTGCATATGAGATTACTATTGCTCAACTGGCATTGATAGCACACAGTCCTTGCCTTCCCATGGGGATGGGAGCAGCAGGGCTAAGTCCTGGGTCCTCACAGGCAGATGTAAAAATGCAGAGAAGCAAGTAGAGGATGGATGGTGAGTTTCTGCTAGGTTTTTTTTCCATTTCCTGCTGGATAGTGAACTCCTGCTGCTCCTGGGTTTATTCCCTGAGTGTTCTTTGCCTTTGGTCAATTCTGAATTAGGGACTTTGGTTCTTTGATGTGGTTCTACCCAGAAGAGCATGGCTCAGCTTGAGCTGTGGTGGTATGAAAGGAGCCAGCAGCTCCATCTGCCCCAGGGTTTTGTAGTTTGTGTTTTGAGAGGAATGAGTCATGGCGATGCTGGGGATCCCAGCCCCGGGTGATTCCCATCAGTTCCTGAGTTCGACAGCAGTCGTGGTTTCCAAAGCATTTGGTCATGTCCTTGAGATGCTGTGTGAGCTCCTGCAGCGACAGCAGATGTAACTGGTAGGTGCATTTCAGCTGTGTGCAGAGAGCAGGTGCCATTAGAAGTCAGCGAGGCAGCAGAGGGGCGAGCAGGGGGATGACATGTTCACTTTGGCAAGGTAATGGTGCAGCTTTCCAGGGCCTCAAAGTGCTGGGTCCCACTTTAGCTGTCTCAGCTGAGTTTGCAAAGTCTGCTGCTGCATCCTACCTCTCTCCTCTGGTCCTGCCCAGGCTGTTGGCTCCATGGCCAGTTAGTGCCTGCAATGCTCCAACCTGGAGCTAGCTGAACTTCAGAAGGCGAGGTGGCAAAGGCGTCGATGCTCTCAGTATCGTTGAGACGAGGCTTAGCATCTTTATTAACCCCTTTGTTGTTATTCTCATTAATAACAGTATTAATTCAGTTCTTCTGAGGCCTCAGTTTCTCTTTTCTTCTGACTCAAGTGTCTCCCCCTCCTCCCCACCGTGCCACTGCTTTCCCCGGCTGCTAGCAGGAAGCAGTGAGTCTCTTCTTTCCAGGGCAATGACAGGTTTCCTGTGACAGGTGGTTTTCTGGTTAAAGACGGCGGTTATTCAGCTCGCTCTCCCCGGGGGCTGGGCTGCCCGGGAAGCACCCGGAGATGTGCGTGTGCATGAGAGGGAGCGAGAAAGCCTGGGCGGGAGCAAGCCACAGTCACTTCTCGTAAGCCGGCACTGGGGAGCATGTCTGGGGCCGCCGGCATTGCACTTGCACCCGGCCTGGCCAGCTGGGGGAGGAGGGTTTGCCCAGGCGAGGCTCTGTGACGAATTTACCAGAAATATGTCATTCTGGAAATTCTGTGGGGCAGAGAGGCGCAGGACTGCAACCCCCATGTCCTTAGCTCATCCCTGCAGCTCCCACACTGAGGAAACCCCTGTGGTTTTGTGTCCTCAGGAGAGCGAAGACTTGGAGAGGCAGAACGCTGCCCTGCGCCGGGAGATCAAGCAGCTGACAGAGGAGATGAAGCACTTCACCTCGATGCTGAGCTCCCATGAACCACTCTGCTCCATCCTGACATCCCCTCCACCACCTCCAGAAGTGCTTTACGCCACACACTCCTTTCACCAGCCCCACATTAGCTCCCCACGCTTCCAGCACTGAGCTGGAAGTACGATGGCAGCCTGCCAGCTCCACTAATGTCAAGAAGTAACTTTGTGGGGCTCGCTTTTCCATCCAAGGGAAGGAATTGGGCACTTCTTAAAGTGTCTACTCTGAGTGACTTGCCTAAGACTTAGTCCCTGTGCAGAAATGGCAGAGCCACCACAAAGCATCTTTGGACAGTTTCCAGCTTGGATCCTGGGATGAGGAGGCAGTCACAAAAGGGCACCAACCCCCTTCTCCGGTGCTTGTTTGGGCACACTCACAAGAGCGTGCAGCACTGACAGCCTCCGTAAGCGTGGCTGGATATGACACGCAACAGCCGGAGCTACAGGAAGAGGAACGGGAGCAAGGTTGGGGGCCACATAGTATCAGGGAAAAACTGGTTTATTTTTGTAAAATAAAGATTGAAATTCTTAACTCTTTGTTTCCAAAATAAGACCTGAGTCAATCTTGACATGATACAGTGAAGACACAGGCAGGAGGATGGGGAGAGCTTGGAGTCTTGCATGTGCAGAGGTCAAATCCAAGGCCAGCAACTGCAGCCTCACATTTAGAATGGGGGCCCATGTGCATAGGCTGGGCAGGCTGAGGAGCAATGGTTTGTGGGGTGATGGGGTCCCTGGGGAGGATGGGTCCCTCCTTGCTGCAGGGCTGGACTTGGCTAATGAATCTGACGTGCCACGTAACATCACAGATCTCTTCCCTACTGACCCTCTTGGCTCCCTGCTACTGATGGCTATGCCTCCACATGTTCCCCTTGCATGTATGGAGGTGCACTGCCATGTCATGTCAGCTCACAGGCAGCTCTTGGTGGGCTGGTGGAGCCCTCAGGCTTGGAGGGAAGTGCTGTGCTGGAGTGCAAAGGAAAAGCAGGACCTAGCAGGACTCTTGTTCCAGGGCACCCTGATAAGGTATGCAGCTGTAGCCTATGCTGTTTCCCCTTGCCTGCCAGTCATAGCTCCAAAGACTCCTGCACTACCTCATGCATTGAAACAGATGAAACCTGAAAGGTCAGAGAAGATTAGGTTGGTATTGCTGGGTCTGATCTACTGGAAACACAAGCTGGTCCGTACAGATGGTCTCTGTGCCTTACACCCCACCAGCCAGCAGTCACCTACACAAAGCTGAAGCCCACCTGCCAGCGCAGGCCCTGTTGCTGATGGTGGCTCAGGACTGCTGCCATCTTCAAGGAGCATCAGCTGCAATTTTTTCAGCAGGGTACCACAAGCAGTGCTGCTGACACAGGCTTTTAAATGAGAAAAATAGACTAAATTTGTAGATATCCTTCTTTCAGGCACAAAGAAGCAGCATATTTCATGGGGTTTGGCCCATCATCATAGCCCACAAGAGCTGTTGGATAAGTCTGTAATGTGCTGTGCTGCACCTATTTTCTCTCTGATTTGCACTCAGCAGGAGGATAACCAAAAATACTGCCATGCCTCAGCAAGTTGTCCTCAGGAGAGGCACAGATAGCACTGCAAATTCTCCTTCCATGGTATGTTCAGGGGCTCGTGAACTTCCTGCCTCCAGTTTCTGTGCCAGCATGGGAAGCACCATGGTCATAGACACCTAATGTCAGCATGTGGGCCAGGGCATCACCACCCTACAGAAGTAGTGCTGAGGCAATGGGCGATTGCACTGGCCCTCCTTGTCTATGTGGGTCTGCCCCCTGCCCCGAGGGTGATGTGCACACACAGGGAAGGATGGTGGTTATTCCAGCCAGGCAGCTGGGTTTCTGCATACAGGTCATGCAGAATACAAGAACAATTTCAGTGTCTTACACCACCAATAGGCTTCACCCCATCCACTGATCCAACAAATAGAGCTGCTGATCCTTGCACAAGCCATGCTTTGAGTCACTCAGGCTACACGGGCCCTTCCCAAAGTGCCTTTCTCTGGGATTTGTCCTTTTAAGCCTGAGAGAGACAACTGATCCCAGCTCTAGAGGTCTTTGTCTTTACAGGCTCTGCTTCTGCTCGTTCAGCTTCTGGTGGATTTTCTCCTGGATTTTCCACTTGCTGTTCCTTAGGGCTCTGATGCTTCCATGTTTTCTGGGTTACAGTCAGAGAAAAAAGCTACAGCTACCTTTCCTGGGGTTTGCTGTGGAGGGAACTGCAGGCTCATGCTCCTCACTGGAGGATGCAACAGAACCCTAGCAAAGTTTGCACTGACAACACAGTATCACCTACAACGAGAGGTATCCATCCTTGCTGCGCCCTTTGTGTTTTCTCATGGCTATGAAATGCTAAGCTTGGTTTTAGCTGCAGGTGGGGAGAGTCCTACACTGATGTAGATGTCAACTATGCCCACGCAGACATGAAGCCAATATTTTTGCTGCAGAGCTGTCGAGGTCTGAGATCCTTCATGCTGGGTGGGGTTCACAGAATTGCTAGACTACTCACTGGTAATGTCTCAGACTTATTACTGCGACTCAGAACGAAAATAAGCGGTAAGTGGTGAGACTGGAAGACGGGTTTGCAACAACATCCTCTCCAAAACCTAAACAATATTCTTGGCATCATCAGTTAAGCTGTCCCTCCTCTGCATGGCTGGCTGTGAGCTGGAAGGCCTCCTAGCAGCTCTACGCTCAGCCGTTTTGGCCAAACACTGGGTGTTGGCTGGTGCTAGGAGACATATCTTCCAATCTGACTTGTCTCTGCCCCGGTCTTGCCCTCAAAAACCTGATCACAGAAGATGATCTGCACAGTTCAAGCCTGTTTTGACTTCTGTTTGCTTATAGTGATTGTGAGGTGTCTCATAGGCAGTCTCTCTTTGTTATGAAGAATGGGTCTCCTGGGGGAACTTCCTTATCACACAAGCAGCAGGGGACAACATATCCTTTCAGGGCCATCAGCCCTTTCAAACAGTGGCTGAGAAAAAGATCTTTTCCTGAGGCTATTTGCAGAGCTGCACAAAGCTGCTTGTTTAGGCTGTGTGAGGAGATTCTTTCACTTCTGTACCGGTGCTGTCTCTTGCTTCTTTTTCCTGGGCTCTGGGCCTCTACAATCCACTCTTCACATACCTTCTTTTAGATTTCTAAGTAGCCAAGTGCTTGTCCTTTGATGTGGCCCTCTCTGTTCTCAAATGAACTAAAAGATGAGCCTAAAAGAGGAGCAAAGGGCAGGGAGGTGGCCAGGACAATCATCCCTGATTGCTGTCAATTATCTGCTCCTACCAGCAGTGCAATTCCTTTCGAAATTCATTTCCATGGCGTCTGGCATTTCTCAAGTGTTGTGTTATCTGGCCATGCCCAGCCTCCAGGACCACTGTGGTGCTGGCTGTTCCAAGGGAAGGGGATGCTTCTGGGAACACAACTGGATAAACCGGGTGATGGCTGGTCCTGTGGCAGCCTGTCCCTACTCCAGCAGGATGTCACTGCCTGTCTATTGCCCTATCCGTCCCTCACTGAAAACCTCTCTCGAAGCAGTATATAGATGAGGGCTCAAAGGAGGCTGAGAGACTCTTTCCCAGCCGGGGAAGGCCAGTGAGGGAGCAAGACGGCTCCTCTGCGAGCACAGCCTGCCGAAACACTGCGTGCGTGCTGGCCTCTGCTGGGCGAAAGCTGAGCGCTCCCAGCCTGCACCCGCACGCTTCTTGGCAGAGCCGGTTTGAAGGTTGTTAGCCTGGCTGTTGCCAGACTAGAGGGAGAACTGGGAGGCTCAAGGCTAATGTCTGTGATGGTAAGGGCTGGGTAAGGCTGCCTGAAGGGGATGTCCGTGACCAAGTGGAAAAGCGAGTTTATGGTCTCCCTTAGCCGAGGACCTTGTTCTTGGTCCAGGGACCTGTTCTGCTTTGTGGTCCCAGCATGTTTCTGCTGTTGGTGAGGGTATGGGGATCTTGGCTTGGTGTTCCCCACCTTCACCAGCTCTTGAGGGGCTTGCAGAGCTGTTTGCAGGCATCACTGCCCTGGATGTGGGGGCTGAGCCCGAGAAGCATCACAGGTGGAGGGAGCTACTTGCTAAAATAAACAGATCTGACTGCAGCCCTGATTAACCATAATCATCTTCACCAAGACCTGAGATAAGAATGGTGGATTTCAGTGTTTTGACATCCAGGAAGGCTTTTGTAGAAGCACTCGGGCTGTATTTGTGCCCAGCAGCCATGTTCCTGGGGCTCTGCTGCAGACAGGACAGTCAGCTGGAACCGAGGGCAGGTGGAATGTGACACTGGGAGGCAGCTGCTGAGGGTGCTTTTCAAGCCTTAGTGACCGTTACCTCCACATTCACCTGCCGACTGGCGTCTTCTCTGCAGAGAAAACAGAAATGTGTGGCAAACATCTGTTTATACAATCAGAGGGTGGAGAAGGCAACCAGGGAACAAGAGAGTTAAATTTTCCTTTATGGTCTTTACCGAATTTCAATACCTCCCACGGATCAAGGCATCCTGGCAACTGTGCAGAAGAATAGCAAGTTTGAAAGCATGGAGGGTTTTATAACTTTCTCCCTTTCCGTCTCCCTAAAAGCACAGGCTCAGCACTTTACAAGCCCTCCGTATCAGCATTTCAGGCATGCTTTTATGGTAAGATAAATAAAGATAGGACATTCAGTGCTGACATAATCTTAACATATCTCTCCCAATGGGAAGCCCAGGGCAATCTTTTATTGGTATTCCCTTTCTGCTTCATACTCCTCAGCTCAGCTGCAGGCTCCCAATGTGGCAGATGGCAGGTGCCAAGAGACACAGAGCCAGCCAGTCCAGGGGAAGGTGCATTCATCCCACTGTATGGGGCTGTTATGAGCCCAGCTGTCATTACTGTGATGCCCTTTCTCTAAATTGATTCACATGTGAATTTTTCCTCTTGAGGGGCAGAAGAAGGGTAATATGCAAGCACAGTTTGCATCGAGTCAGAAGAGAAGTAGGGGTACATCTTTAGTCTGACAGAGTAAGCAGCTCTGTTGCCCATTTTGCTGTGGCTCCAAAGTATGTATGCACTTGTTTTACAAATCCCATCTCAGAATTCACTTCTATTAGAGCTGCCAGCCTGCATCAGCAAAAGGATATCTCCTGCATACTGGACCAAAGCAGAAGCCCACAAAAAGCTTCTCTCTGTTTCTTACAGTGATCATGGTGTACAAAGCAGCACTTGTCATACAAGAATTTCTGCCTGGATGCTAATATTTCAGCACACACAGATCAAAGAAGATTGGGAATCACCGCTAAGAGACATAGCATTTTTATAAATCACAAGCTGTCAAGAAGAGAAAAAGCAAAGCATGACATGAAATGGTGAGACTTTTCCTAGCAAACAGCACTGTGCTCACTTTGTCTGTGTTCTGCTTTGCCACCTTATTGATTAATGATGTGGAGGGGATTTGAGCAACATGTGTATACATAAAGATTTTTTAGGTTAATCAAAAAATCTACCCAACTAAATGGTAGGGAATGTATATTCATCACTTGCCAGGGCAGACTTACAA